CACTGTTCACAATTACCGAGATATGGAACCAACCTAAATGTCTATCAACTGATGAATGGATATAGAAAATATGATGTGTATATATAATTAAATACTATTCAGCTTTAAAAAGAAGGAAACTCTATCATTTGCAATGACATGGATGAACCTGAAAAACATAATGTTAAAGGAAATAAGACAGGCACAGAAAGAAAAATATGGCATGGCCTCACTTATGTGTAGAGTATAAAGAAATCAAACTAATAGAAGCAGTAAGTAAAATGGTGGTTACCAGAGACTGGAACACAAAATTTCAGTTAGACTGGAAGAATAAGTTCAAGAGATATATTATGAATCATGATAACTACATTTAATAACAATATGTTGAATGCTTGAAAATTGCTGTGAGAGTAGATTTTAAATATTCTCACTGCCAAAAATGAATATGTGAGGTCATTCATATGTTAAGTAGCTTGAATAGACATTCCATAAAGTATACATATATCAAAACATCATGTTGCACATCATAAATATATCCAACTTTTACTTATCAAAAGTAATAAATTGAAGCAGATTTACAACAAGTCTGCAAAAATGCTCTAATTGACTTATCAATAATTATGGCAACAAACGTTAGACTAAGCATGTATGGACTTATGTGAAAATGTTTGTTGGAATCATAAATAATTTAAAGATTTGAAATTCGCCTTATGAATGGAAGGCACTTCAACTATAATGTGTTACTTTCTCAGAATTGACAAAGTCCCCTCATGACAGTTAAGCTTGTCAACTTGATTGGTTTGGGAACTGCCTAGAGAATTGGTAAAATATACCTCTGGGTGTGTCTGGCTGGGTCATAGAGACATGACTTTGGATACTCTATTTAGTCCTTGACCCCTGCCTCTCTGGTGCTGTTTCCCTGTTCTGCTTCCTGGTCTCCATGAACTAAGCAGCTTTCTCTACCGTGCCCTCCTGCCATGATGTTCCTGTCTCGGAATCAGTTGACCATGACCTTGATCCTCTGACACCATGAGCTAAGAACCTCTCATCCTTTGAGTTTTGATTGTCAGCAATGGGAAAGTTTTGATTGTCTAGCAATGGGAAAGTCGACTAATACAACTAGAACACAAGACTTTTTCTTGTGTTTGTGCTTCATCTTTTCCTTTTGCAGAGACCACTTTCTTTAGAACTGAAGTGCTTCATTTATTTTGTCTTCTCCAGGCATAGCCAGAGTGTATGTGTTGACTCAACAGCCCACAGGCATTTCTAGCCTGTGCCACTGCTCGAAAAAAACAGCCACTACTTTCTGTTTCCACACAATTAGGCTGCTGCTATTCTTCTCTTGTCCTTTATCATCACTCTCTTCCTCTCACCCCTTCTTCTCTCTTTGCCCAAAGTAGCGCCTATGATGCTTTTGGTGAGATGAAATCAAGACATTTGCTCTGTGATGGTCACATGTGGAGCAGCGAACACAGAGACACACTGAATAAATGAACATCCCCAGACTCTCTAAAACAAAAATTATCATGGGTCACAGGAGGATCAGAATGAAAGATGGCAAGGCACTCCTTTCTCTAGTCTGCTTTCTCTTCTCTCTTCTCTTCTCCCTGCTTTTACTTCTCTCCTTCTCTCTTGAAAATAGAGAATGTCCAACAGTTATAGTTCTCTTCTGAACCTTATCAAGAAGGAGAGTTCCAGTGTATCGTGTCTCTCTTATCTTCTGGGGTCACATTAAATTTTACCATCCAATTTTAGATGCCCTATTTTAGAATAATATAGTGATAAGGACAGAGGAAACATTCCTGAACAGTGATGAAACAAGACTAGCACTTTAGTTCGATGTTAGTATAAAATCTAAAGAAACAGAGGTACTTTCAAGCTATGTTTCCTTTAAGGCTTCCTAGTTTAGTAGCTTGGAAGGTCAAAGTTGATAATGAAAGAATAATAACTGTGTTAGTTAACTTTTCGTCCTTGTGATAGAAGAGCTGAGAAAAACAACTTAAGGGAGGAAAGGTTTATTTTAGCTCTTTGTTTCAGAGGTTTTAATCTGATCAGCCACCTCCAGTGCTTTAAGCCTTTGGCAAAGCAGAAATACCATGGTTGAAGAGCATGGTAGGGAAAAGCTGTTCACCTCATGAAAGCCAGGAAACAGTGAGAGGCTGCGAGATCCCGAAAGGAAGGGACCAGGGACAAGATAAAGAGCCTAAGTTCCCAGCCAACTCCCTTTAACTAGGCCCCATCTCCCAAGTTTCCATCACTTCCCAATAATGCCCATCAAATTATGATCTGATCGATAGATTAATCCACTGATGAAGACAGAGTCCTCATGATCTAATCACTACTCGAAGCCCCATCCCTAAACATGTGAGACTTACAGAGGTCATTTTATCTCTAAGCATAACAAAGAAGTGGATAATGACTTGTCTCCCTAGTCTGTCTGTAGGTGGTGTACCAGTTATGTATTGCTGCATAGCACATTGCCTCAAAACTTAGTGACTCAGGGATGAAAGTATAGCTCAGTGGTAAAGTACTTGCCTAGCTTGTGTGAGGCCTTGGGTACATACAGTCCCCAGGAACACCACCAACAAAACAAAAACAAAGCAAAACAAGCAAACCAGGAAGAACCCTTAATGGCTGAAAACAGTAGTAAACTTTTATTTATTTCTCACTGTTTCTGTAAATCTGGAATTTAAGAGTGGCCCAGCTGAATAGTTATTATTGGAGGTCTCTTGTGAGGTTGCAGTCAAAAAGTGACCAGGGATACATTATCTGAAAGTTTGTGACTAGGAGATTTGTTTGTGCCATAAAGAAAGATAAGCATGCACCTTGAATCCATAGTGTTAAGTGAAATAAATCAGATGCACACCTTAACTATCACATGGTTTTTCTTATATGAGAAACCCAAGATATAAATAAAAAAGCAAAATAAAAGATAGACCTTGGGGAATAGGGAGACAGAGCTTTTGTAAAAGAGAAGGGTACCAAGAGCTGAAGTGGGTGGGAGGGAATCAGGGTGAAAAAGAGTGAAGATGTGTTCTATACCTGTACTGCAAGCGCGTACTAATAAATAAAACTGGAATGAATAAATATACTCACCAATGAAAATAACCTGACTCATCAAAAACTGAAAAGAAGTCTAATAAAAATTTAAGACAACATAAAAACATTCAATGTATATATTAATTTGAAAATTAATACTCTTCCATTTAAAAAAAATACTTCATTTCTTCTCTAATGAGCCCTCCCCAGGCCTCCTTCAGTATTCTCAAAACCTGGCAGCTATCTTCCCCTAGAACTAGCAGTTAAGGAGTGAGGTTGAATTAGCAATTCCATTTATGACCTGGTCTGAAAAAAAATCACGCATTCTTACATTTGCAAAGTCCTATTGGTCACATAGGTTTTCCCTCTTCAATATCAGAGGAGACTTTAAGGGAGTGAAAATCAGGAGGCAGGAATTATTTGAGGTCTGTTTTGCAGTCTGGATTTACATAAGTGTATTGACCAAAATTGAGTTGATAATATTATAAATTATTAAGATTAGAGAGAAGACCCTCTTTTCCAAGTTCATTTATGTGTAGGATTTAATCCAAAGCTTGGTCACATCAGCAAAGAGGGGTTACAACAAGTTCTTATCCCAATACTTACTAGTGCAATCATTGAAATAGATTATTATTTAGGGATTGATTTAGACAAGATTTGTGTCTAATAAAAATGTGCCTGCTATCTTTAAGCTATTTGAAATTTATCGTACTACTCATTGTTTTCTAACGTTTCTGGTGAGAGAAGTTAAAGCTATAGTGCTATTTTCATTTTCTCTTTCTAAAATATATTGGATATTTTTCAACTTTAAACAAGAGAGAAGTTCAAATCTTCCTTCAGAAGGTTTGGTAATTGAATCTGGTGAAACAAACTGACAATAGGCAAATTAGCAGGAGAGAAAGAAGGCATTGAAATTTATTACTGTGCATATGTGTGGGGGAACTATATAAAATATGAAACTCAAAAAAGGCCCAAATGATTGAAGCATAAGTTGCCTCATCATGGGAGGATAGAGTAGGAGACTAGAGGTAACTTTGTAGGGGTAGTAAATGATTTTTAGGAGAGACAAATGAACCCAGAGAACAGACAGTGTCCTGAGACAAAGTATCTGTGGACTCTAGGTATGATGTTGATTTTTCAGTCTCTTCCTCTGTGATTTGAGTTTAATCTTCCTAAGTTAATAAACTTTCAATAGGAAGATTGAAAGCATCTGTGTCCCTCTTTGGCAGCGCCCATCTGTAGGCAGACAAGGAAACTTCAGAGGAGCCCTTCTCTGCCTTAGCTTCTCCCCAGAGGCCCTCAGTTTGAAGTCCAAAGCCACATATTTTGGAGCATAATATTCTGAGTCCCAACACAACTCTTTCTCATGTACCTGTAAATTGTAAAGCAAGTAACCAATGCAATGAGTTTTCATGCATTCACAGACAATTTTTTTTTAATGTACTAAATACCTAACATGGTTTGACCTGTGGTGTCTCCGGGATAAAATAAGTGTATAATATCATGGAACAAATACATCTATTCTGAGATAATTTCAATACAGCATTTAAACTACATAGGGAACAATACCTAGAGTGCAGTGAGGCCTTAGGGAGAAAGTACTCACGTCTTCCTCAGCACCGATGCCAAGGACCCTTCAAAGAAGAGGTAACACTGAATTGTGTCTTGGAAAATGGTAGGCCTTCACCCAACAGGCTGAAATTGGATGGAATAAGTCACTAAAAAGATATTTTGCATGGAGTAACCAAAATGTACCGAAGCAAGAAAGTGTGTCACAGTATAACTTACGTACTAGTTTTTTGTTACTGCTGTAATAATTTACCATAGACTTGGTGGCTAACACAGTACAGATTTACTGTCTTTCAGTTCTATAACAGATCTAAGATAGACATAAGTCTCTCTGAGTTAAAATCGAAATGTCAGCAGAATTGTATGATTTGTTGGAAGCTCCGGGGTAAAGTCCATTTCCTTTCCTTTTCCAGCTTCTAGAGCCTTTTCCACATTCTTTGATCTGTGGCTTCATTCCTCCATCTTCAAAGCCAACAATGGTAGGTCAATGTCTTCTTATGCTGCCATCTCTCTGGTTCTAGGAATCTGGGAGAGGTTCTCTGCTTTTCGGGGCTCATATGATTAGAGTGGGCCTACCTCGATAATCCAGAATAACTTCCCCATTTTGGAGTCCTTATCCTTAGTCATGTCTGCAGTGAACCTTTTGTCACATAAAGTAGCATATTCATAGGTTCCTAGGCTTAGGACATCGATCTTTTTGGAAACCACTATTCTGCCTGGGACAGGGGCTTATTCAGAAAAGACCCAAGAGTGGTTAGAGTATAGAGTTCTTGGGAGTAAAAGGCAAAAAGTCAGGCTAAGAAAGTAGTCATGGGCCAGTCCAAGAATGCATGAGTTGGGATAAGAAGTTTGGATATTAACTTGTATATGGATGTTTGTTTTTCCATCATTCCTTGCCCCTTTCTTTTATAAAGTGTCCCTGGTTTCTTTTGAGGAACTTGCCCTTGGTCTGTGGGTTCTAGGCAGGCTACCAGTTAGACTACAGAACCTGTCTGTCTGGATTGGACCTATGACCCAGGCCTACTCTCTTGGGCTTAGTAATTCATCTAAAATGTGGTCATATTATTCAACCAGAAGTGTTGCCTTGAATCTGTCTCTTATTTGGGGGTTGCTAAGTAGGATTATAAGCTTGATATTAGCTTATAGCCCTGTCACTAAAAGGAGATTCATCTACTTATAAAGGATGTAACGACTTAAAAGAGAACAGGTAAGAACTACAGATCCAAGAGTATTATTTAAATCCCCTAAAAGCTGTCCTTTGCTTTTCTGGGGATCACTTGCAACTGAAAGTTCTGGGTAACTTACCCTAAATTTGTGAATAGTCTTCAAAGGGGCAAAAGCAATAGAGCGATGTGTTCAGATTTGCCCTAATGGTAATATATAGAACAGCTTGTGGAGAAGGCAGAAAACCACTGTAATTGTTCAGGTAAGAGCTGATGGGTGATTAAATTATAGCAGCTAGGCCAGTGGTGGCAAACCCATTGCACGCGTGTTACTGTGTTTTTCTTTTAAGACAAAAGATGTTAATGTAGGAGTTGTTTATTCTGAACTAACACCTCATTATTCAGGTTTAATTGCAATAAATAAGTGGATTTTTGGGTTGCAGTTTGGGCACTGGGTCTCTTAAAAGGTTCACCATCACTGAGCTAGGCCAAAGGAGCAGAGAATTTCAGCATAGAGTGGTCAAAAGTCACATCAAAAGCCAAGAAGTAAAAGCAAAATGCATTCATTTGAGATAACAAATTGATAATTATCAGAAATTTAATGAGTTATTTAAATGGGAAGATAGGAGTTGAACTCTTGAAGACTGAGTTGTACTTTAGATATTTTATTGTTAAATCTGAGTATAAGAGTAAATAATTCCCATTGTAAAACATCCAATAAATAAGTAGATAAAGAAAATAAAAATTGCTAACAATATCACCAGCAATAACTACTGTTAACAATTTGGTTATACCATTCCAGAGAATAATATGATCTTGCAGTTTTCACTTTGTTACATTGTAAATAATTCCCTTTTTATTCTTGAAAGTAGTATTTTTATTAGCTGCATAATATTCCACAGGTGGAAAGTATTTATCCTTGCATACAAATCACAACATTTAATGGTATACCACATTAGGTTAACTTTTAAAATATTTTCTCTTCTTATGTATTCACTTTTTAATCTCCTGATCAATGCTATAATAATTCAACTTCAAGTTCATCTTTATTTTAAGGAGGATAAAGGGAAATTAGAGGAGGAGGGAGGGAGGGAAGGTGATAAGGGGAAGGGGAAGAAAAAGAAGCAAGTTGTATTATGTACATGTACCCACTCTCCAAGATGATTGTAAAATGCATGTAAAATGTAAACATATACTAAGAAAAAAATAGCACTGCTTATGCATCTTTACTATTATGAGCCATTAGCTTATCCTTATCCATCTACTGAAGGAGCAAAGTGTGTCATTTAGCTTTCTTTTGTTCCTGAAATAGTAAAAGAATTCTTTTTTCTGTTTCCTTTCATGTTTCTTATATGTGGCATCCTGTTTCCTGCTGAGCCTTTTTGACCCAACTCCTACAAGCTTTTGCTATTTCTTTGTGATCTCCTTAGGAATCTGCCCTACATTCCACTTTCTGTGGCATTTCCATTTGTACTTCATCTCTCTGTGAAGTTCTTTCTTAAGCAACTTCTGTAGTCCTTGCCAATTTTTTTTCTCATTGAAAATGTAACAGATTGTGCTGCTGAAATACTTTGGGAAATGTTTTGCTAGATTGGGTCAAAAACAGCATCTTTGACCAAATCAACATTTGAATGTAAAGGTGAATTGCTAAAATGGTAGATTTTCAGAAGAGATTGATATAAACAAGGAACTTATATTTATTATATTATTGGAGTTCTGAGACTTATCTGACTAAATACTGTATTTATGAGGCACATAAAGTCAATAAAATCAGAAAAATTAAAAATTCTTCATAAGCTATAGGACATGTTTCCACCCTGCCATATATTGACTTAGCCAGCTAGGTATTAAAATAAGACTGGTCATTGAAATAAAGCATTTAGGGACCAAAGTATGAGCCCATATTATGCCATGCCACTTTTTTCCTGACAGGGCACTTCACTACAAGAATCAAATGTTTTTAAAGCTTCTACACTTTTGCCAAAATTATTTACAACTTTTCAATATTGAAAATTTCAAACATGTACAAAAGCAGAGAGAATAGGATTATGACACCCATGTACCCACCCATCAGCTTAAAACCACTCAACACATAACCAATCTTTTTTTCCTTTATTAATGTCCATTAATTTCACAAAACATTGGGCTTCAACATACTTTGATCATGCCTATCTCTAAATTATCGTCTATTACACCCGCATTTCCCACCCCTTATTCCCTTCCTCTTGTCTAATAATGGTCCCTTTCTGACTTCTATGTCATCTTTTTTAGATTCTGCATATTAGGGAAACATGTGACATTTGTGTTTCTGAATCTGGCCTATTTAACTCAACATAGTGATTTCCAGATCCATCTATTTTCCTGTAAATGACAAAAAAAATTCATTATTTTTATGACTGAATAATACTCCATTGAATACATATACCACATTTCTTTATTCATTCACCTATTTATGGGCATGTAGGCTGGTTCCATATCTTAGCTATGCTTAACTGTATTGCAACCTCTGGTATTCCGGTATCCCTATAGTACCCTGACTTCAGTTTCTTCAGGTGAACACCAAGGAGTGGTGCAGCTGGATCAGAAGGTAGCTGTATTTTTAGTTTTTTGAGGAACCTCCATACTGATTTCCATAGTGGCTGTGCAATGCCCACCAGAAATATAGAAGAGTTCCTTTTTCCCACATCCTCCCTAGCATTTATTGGTTTTGGTATTGTTATTGATTGCTATGGTTTATATCTAGATCACTCTTCAAAGCCTTGAACACTCATAGCCTCATAGGTGGGGCTTTTGAAAAGTGATTGAATCATGGGGTGCTATAGCTGAAGGTAATTTTAGGCAGTCAGGCCTGGTCAGAAGTTTAAGACTAGGACTTGAGAACTTTCGGTGTTGCTGTTTTTAATGCTCCAGTTTGATGAAGAGGGATAGATGTCATGTAGAAGTATGATTGGAAAAAGAGGGACTGGAGGTGGCTTATCAAGGCCAGTTTGTTCAGATTCTTTTGGTCCTCTGACTATAGGAAAGGCCCCTCTAGAACAAGGGCTTCATGACCTATTTTCAGGTGAGGTAGGTGGAGAATTCTTTTATGATTGTGCTTCAGAGGAGAAAGGGAGGGGTGACCTTCTTCCTCCTGTAGTTTTCTCAATTACTAAGGAATCATATTTTGGGATATGTTCTGAGGTCCAAGAGTATCTACAACTATAATGTGCAAGGAATAAGGATATTCAAGATATTTACAGTTTATTCCAGGTATAAGGTAGACAGAATCAAAGGAAAACCCAAATCTGAAAACTGCAAAGAAACATCAGCATCTGATGCCAAATTATCTTTAAGTCAAAAGACAGGAAAGAGTGAAGAGTTAATTGAAAAAAATTCTGTCTTGCAGTACTGGGCAAGGAGATGGAATAGCATATGGAATTCTTCTATGAAATATAATATAAAACTTCCCAAAATACTGTTCTCAATTGTCTTTCTTGTGTTAAATATTAAAAACAAAGATAAAAATCTGTAATGACATTAGGAATAGAACTATTAGAATTATTAGAATAAATTATTAATTTTTACCATTATAATCACTATATGTTCCCAAGGAATTTAAGGAGATGTAATGTTATGTTATTCACAGATGGTTTGTGTCACACTTTAGTTTCAGCAAAATATATTTAAATACATTTTCCGATTATTTAAAATGTGATATTATAAGCACTCCTTTCTAGGATGCCTTGTGCAGCGGTTAATCGTTTACTGTTGGAAATGAGCCAATTTATATCTAAAATTCAAAAGAAAGAAACAATTATGCACCTAACTTAATTTTTAGGAGGAGATAACATAACTTTAATAAAATATTAAATAGACTGACAATGTCTTCCAAATAGTGTGAATTTTAAAATCATAAATAATTGAGTTAATGAGCTGCCAATAGCTTAATGGACTAGAGAAGCAAGTAGAGTCTCGCTAGGTAATTTATATATTACTGATTTACTGAGCCTCCCCCCAAATATGTCAAAGATAATAGGGAAATCAAAGGAGGACATTTTCAAATCACTGTAACTTTATGTTTATTTACTTTGTAACAAAGGGAAGAGAACACACATTTTAATATTTTAATCATAAAATTCATGTCACAGTCAATGATTAGTCCTCAGAATCACAGAATGCCACCCCAGACAACTACATGTGCTATAATCTCATGACATACAACATTCTCATTGACTGTCAATAGAAAACAAAACAATTTATGAAGTTTTAAATTAATGCTGTGGTTGAAATGCGTCCTCCAAAGTTCATGTGTTGGAAACTTAATCCCCAGTGCTGAG